TTTAATTTTCACTAGCCCTTTTAGATGATGTTAGAAGTTGTGTGGGTGTAAGTCTGTGTGGGATAAAAGGAGGGCCTTGACCATGATTTCTACCGATTGTTGCGTTGATTGGTTTCACTTAGGTTGGCTATCATAGTTTCCCACATGCATAAACTCCACAATCTTTTGACAGCATAAGTGGAACCAAGTTGTTTGCTTTGGGACTGCATAAGCTTGGTTGCTTCATGACTTAGGGATTCTGAAATAGATGTTAAAAATGCTTGCTTCATGTTAGGATCATCCATACCCCTAAGTATATGATATATTTGTACCATCTCTTTGTAATGCCTGTCTAGATCTTTCTTTTTGGGAGAACAACATCGCATCTTAAAATATTCTTCTCTGACCTGGTTCTCATAAAGGTGAGGTAATCCACAAAATTCATCATAAAGGAGATACATAGCTTGATTAATATCTGGCATTCGGATGAAAAAAATTTGTCTGTACTTGTGAAGACTAATCCACCAATCACGGAGAATGCCACCAAATCTAGCTGTAAACTGCATAAGTACAACATAGACTTAGGCATTAGGTTTAAACATCTCAGCTTGTAACCAGGCTTAAGATTCATACATCCGATTTCTCTATTTGTGTGGAGGAATATCATCAACAGTATATGTGTGGAGCTTTGCTGAAGCTATATAAGAGTCACACTCAGCCGTAGTATGACAGAATTATCGATACATAGGCGGAGAGTCTAGAATAGAATCACCACCTTTAGGCATCTCATCATCAACCTCAGAGACAATAGGTGGTCTTGAAGATTCGGGTTGATGGGTCATTAGTTGGGGATAAACGTTAGGATGTTGATCAGAAGTATCACTTTTAGAGTCAAAGCCACTTTCAAATGATTCATCAGTCAAAGGCATATCAGCTTCTGATTCTGTGTGGAAGGTAGATAGAGAATCTTGAGAAATACTCGAAGCTACAAGACGTTGCATTTTTGTCATGTCTCTCAAAAAAGAGATCATAAAATTGGAAGAGACAGGATTAGCAGAAGTTTGACGATCTTCTATCATCATTATTTGCATTAGAGCCTTATCCTTAGATAAAGGATGATGAGGCTTAGGAGATAGAGGATCGGAATGACTGGAAGAGAAAGAGTCAGGTATATCATCGGATGGTTTCCGCGTTTTAGCAGAGTATTTTTCTGCTTCTTTTGTTCCCATTCTAGCTTAATCTTTTCATCACGTGCTTTGTAGAGCTTTGCATATAATTGTTCAGTGTTGCCAAAAGCCTGAACAGCACCAGAAGGTATATGAGGTGAGACCAAAGGTTGACTAATCTTTGGGAAAGGGGAAAAAGAGGGTTGTGGCCATGCTGCTAAAGAATCAAAAGGATTTGGCACCAAAGACATTTCAGGAAAATTTTGTGGTTGTCTAAGTTTTTGCTTAAGATATTCCTACTGAAGCGATGCCATTTAGGTTTTTAGCAACTTCATTTCTGCTTCCTTCTGGACAAATTGAGCTGAATATCATGAAAGGTGCTGACAATATGCATTAATTCCTAATGGAGTTGATCAATCCGGTTTTGGAGATGATCAATCTGTTTTTGTAATCGAAAAATTAGCATAGTGTGGTTCTGAGACTGAGAGTCAACCTGATGAGCTACCAGATCCAATTTTTGTTCAATTCTGTTAATGGTTTTGTTTTGGGCTAAAGCATTTTCAATCTATCAATTGAGAACTGTTTCAGCTTAGGAGAGTTTTGGGGTGGATCCATCAGGCTATATGACTTTGGAAGGAACCACTTTTGGTTGTTAAGTCGGACTTTCCTTAAGACAAGGAAAGTTTGTGTCATAATTGAAATTTTGTCCTGTATTTTGGGGTTCAGGAGAGTGAATCATCATAATGGACTGAACATGTGGAGTATGAACAAGAGGTGAATAGGTTGGTTTGTTTTCTTTTGCAATCCACTAGAGAGCCTGCTGATAGCATGGTAAAGGTTTTTTGAAGTAAAGTGATTTAGCAGGTTTGGATAGTTTTAAAGGTGATTTGGGTTTAGGTTTCGGAGGGATTTCCCATGAAGGACTAATGGATGGTAATTCTTTCCAAGCTGATGGAGAATATTTGACATAATAGTCAAATTTACCAGATGTTTGACCTAGAAGGCCAACTTCAGGATCATGGTCTTCAAATCTGGAATGAAGATCTTTTTTATTGCACCGAGCTGTTTGTTTTTTCCATCTGGAATGGTTTCGTCTGGAAAGATGAAGCTCGTCTATTTTCTAAATATGATCATTACGGCAGTTCAAGCATTGGCAGTCAATATCAAATGGAGTGTGACCAGTGACTAGATCAAATTGATGATAGATAGGAGCACCAGATTGTTGAAATGAATGAATGGAAAGTCTAGGTTCCCGTACTACTGTAGTTGGTAAGACTGGAGTGATCATGAATTGAGTTTGTTGAAAACTCAAAGGTGGAGCACTGAGAGTTGCTGAAGACTTAAATTTGATAGTTGTTGTTCCGTCACTGTTATCATGCATGGTAGATTCTGTAGAAATCACCGGAGTTTCTTTTTTATTAAGAAACTCATAACTCGTCCCCCAAGAGTCTGGTGATAATTTAATCAAATCATCTCTGGGAATTGGCCTGGGAATATTGATGCAGTGAGGAGTATTCTGAGAGTCAACAATAAGAAGCAGCGCATCAGTAGTTGTAGGAATAGCGAGATCAAGAGCATGATCTTGGATCTGCCAAACTATCTAATAATGTAAAGTAACTGTAATACTCCCTGGATTTTAAATCTACACCAACTATCTGTAGTTGAACTTTAAGAGCTTTGGAGCAATGAACATCAGAAAGAGACATATTGAAATTAGGAAACAGTGTCATAATGATTGTCCCAGCATTCAAAGTTGTATGCGTCGTTCCTATACAAGCATGTTGATATTGGACAAATATAGTGTCTAACAAAGTGATTCAGACCGAGACTGGGAGACCTTTTTTGCCATGATAAGATAGAGCTAGCCTGATAGCATCAAAGTATACATGAGAGTATCCTTCACAGATCCATTGGGCAATGGATTCTTAAGGGATTTCCAAAGTAACATATTGTTCTTGAGTTGTGGCTGGAATTTGAAACTTATCAAAAGTACTAGTTTGGACATCAACGCAACGATCGGTCGAAATCATGGTCAAGGCACTCATTTTATCCCACACAGACTTACACCCATACAGCTTCTAACATCATCTAAAAGGGCTAGTGAAAATTAAATACACTAAGAACAGAAATGAAGAACATATATATTAAACATATCAAGAACATAAAATAAGAACATATATGTTAAATATGTCAAAGCACATAAATTAAGAACATATATGAGATCTTTTGCTACCCTTAACATTATCAGAATATTACAACATCCTTGAGGTTGAGGGAAAGTTTAGAAGGATGAAAGAAACATGGAAGAAGTATGATAAACATGTGCAAAGAAAATATTCAAGGGAGAAGTGAGAGATTATTGATAAGAGAATAAAACAAGAGAAATATACAGGAGTTTTCACAATGCTCCTCTTCCCCACGATAAGGGAAAAGTCTTTATTTATAAAGAAGAGATATACATTTCATGCAATACTAAAAAATGAGTCATTTAATACATGAGTAGACTTTTTGATTTATTTTTTTTTTTTTTTTTTTTTTTTTTTTTTACATTTATTTGCCTATAATACTTGACTTTTACAATTCATACGAAAAATATTACACTGAGTTGGTAAACTACTATTTAGTCCACTACTATTTTCATAAAAGACAACTTTTATTTTAAGACACATAGAGCTTTAATCGCCTGACAGGTTTGTAACGTGCCACAAGTCTTCATCCTAGAAATTGAGACAACCCATTGATTGAATCCATTCAGTAGGGATTTGTCGAGAAGATGTATCTGGATAAGTATCTGGAGAAATGTCTGGAAACTGAGATGTCTACTTTGCAGAGGTACTTGGTGTGTGCATGTACTGTTGTCACCTAGATTTATGAAGATAGTAATTACGAGACTACTGAAGTTCTTCTTCCTGTATAATATCTTACTGTGAGTCTGGGTACCACTATTCTGGATAATCTAAAGCCTACTAAAATATATTAGTAGGGTGGCAATAGGTGATTTCTATTTATAAAATATAATGGGCTTAAAATAGTCAATCTGGGCTGAAAATATATTAATGGGCATCTTTAATTCTTTATAAAGAGGCTTCTAGTAAGTGAATTTTATAAAGAAATAAGCAAAAGCAGTTGCAGCACGCCCATCGTGTTCACCGTGTGAATGTATGAAATCCATGTGTATGTACAAACTTATCAAAGTACAAAAATAAATTAAAAATGTGAACTTGTTATGGAACATTCTAAAGGAATCGTCATAATTCTAATTTCTACCGTTTGGTGTTAGTTGTCTGATAACTATTATTATTTGTTGAAATTACTGTAAAAATATAAATATTTAAAATAATATTATTCAAATTTTTTTAATATAAACCCCAAGAGGTTGGCTTGGTGGTCTAGAAAGTTTACTTCCTTCATTGACTTTTTGGTTTAAACCACTTTGGAGTCATTTACCACATTTGTGGTTTACCTTGAACATTAGACTTATAGGATGTTTAATGAGTCTCGAAGATTAATTGAAGTGTACGTAAGCTGGACCAAGGTATTTAATGAGTTCTAAAGATTAATTGAGATACGCGTAAACTGACCACACAACTCCGGTTTTCAAAAAAAAAAAAAAAAAAAAAAAATCTTTTAATATAATTAAACTCTAATACCTCCTACAAAACTATGTTGGGTTGAAAAGAGACACTGCCTAGTGTTGAACATGCTAACGGCCAAACAAAGCAAGCCCATTTAGGTCATTTCGGTTTCTACAGGCCACAGCAAGTCCACTATATAACAAGTGCCACCCAAAGACAATCCCATCACTCGAAAATTTAACAAAGCTCGTCGAAACACAGAAGCTCAAAGTCAGCAAAAATGGCGACTCAACAATTGGTGGCAGACAACAAACAAGGAGCCGAGGTACACCACGGCGCCGCTCTCTGTAAGCAAAAGTGTCACGAGCTTCTCGCCGAACTCAACCTTCCCAAAGGCCTTCTCCCACTCGACAACCTCACCGAGATGGGCCATAACCGCGCCACCGGTTTCATGTGGGTCAAGCAAAACCAACGTTACGAGCACAAGTTCAAAGCCATCAATCGCACCGTTTCCTACGACACCGAAGTGTCGGCGTTTATTGAGAACCGTCGGATGCGTAAAGTTACGGGAGTGAAAGTTAAGGAGCTTCTGATGTGGGTGAGGCTTGTCGAGATGTATATTGACGATCCTAATTCCGGCAAAGTAACGTTCTCCAGTGCCGCCGGGCTTTCCAAGACCTTCCCGATCTCTGCGTTCGAGCTGGAGGAGAAGGACCAAAAGGAACAAAAGTGAAACTGTTGGAGTCCTTTTAAAATTTTAATAAGTTATGATGCGGTCTGGGTTAATTTCTGTCAGTTTTATTTTAATTTATACTCTGTGGCTTCAAGAAGTATAAATAAGCAACTTTATTTCTGTTTCAGGTAATAATAAAATTGAAACTTCCAAAGTTTTTCTATTTTAATTTATCAAATTTATTATAATTTGTGTTTCTTTTATTGTTATTATCAGTTTTTTTTTTTTTTTTTCTTCTAAATTTTAAGTACTATAATGAATATTCAATGGTATTTGACTAGATGATTAAATTTTTTATACATTATCTTTTTCTTTTTTATAAAATGATAATAAAAATTAAAAAGATGTAGATTGAACATCGGAGGCATTATAATCAATCAATGATTTTTGTTGTGGCATGAAATAGTAGTATAGAATTAGAAATTAATTTTTTAATATATTTTTTAATTTACGCATCAATCATCACTAAGTAAAATCGATAGAGATTAAGGACTGCTCTATCATATATTTTTTACCTCGTTGTATGTCTAGTTATATAACTCAATTGTAAGCATAACATTATTCAAATATTTGTGGTTTTGGAGTGAACAAATAAGGGAGAGAAGCAGTAGGAAGTACACATTGACTGGCTGGGACTTCAAACATGATGGCGGAATCGCATATTAGTCGGGTGGGAGTTCAAAGATGCTACAAGTGTTGATATACTAATCGGACTTTGTAGTGGTGGAGTTATGAGATTTAGTCATATAGATTCAATTGTATAAGATTCACCAACAGGGTTTTGATGCCGGCGGTGTCAAGCAACTTCATCCAAAAAGTGGTGGGCATAGAGATAGAGATGGGCACAAGTCGGGGCCGGGGAATGGGTTCCCCCCGCACCCGATCCCTTGGGGAAGCACTCGAGTTTGGGGTTTTGGGGAATCCCCATTCTCATTCTCAACTGGGTAGTAATCCCCACGGGGATTAATCCCATTTGGTCATTTTTTTTATATAAATTATTCAAATACCCAAAATAAATAAATAAAATAAAAACTAGAAAAGGGCTAATTAGTTTATATGTTAAGTTAAACAAAGTCTTGCATAGAAAATCAACAGTCATATTTACATACCCATAAGAATATTTGAAAACAAATATAATAATCACTTCTAACATTGTGGAAACTTTCTTTCAAATTAGTGCAAAGTCCAGAGAGTCAACCTATGGCACATCACAAGTTCACAAATGTACAAAATTCCAACTGCACATTTCACATACACCGAAAAGGAATTAATGGTTAGAGGCAAAAAAATATTAAATTGATAACGTTTATATATGATGCGTTTGATTTATTATTTTGGATAGGATTTTAAAAATAATATTAGATAGTTGGATAGGAGAGTATTATGAGGTAAAATTTAAAAATTTATGAAAAAGCCCCTAAGTTTTCTAATTTAATTAAATACCCTAATATATAAAATGACAAAAACACTCCCACCACCTGCAGTGCCAGATTCCAGCCATCACCATCGGAATCTGACCGAAAAATCATATTATGACACAGACCACTCGGATCTGTATCGTAACGCGTCGTTATGGCCTTTTCCGACCAGATCCACCACGGATTTGGCCGGAAAAGGTCAGATCTACGGCCTGCTATGGCTGTAAAGATCGGAAAAGGCCAAAACGGGCGACGGCCAAAGATATGGCCGTCGTTGACCTCAACGACAGACATTTCTTTGGTCGTCATTCACGGTCAGATCAATGAACTTCCGGCTATTTTTGGTCGGTAGATAAGCCGTTGTACAGATTCCGGTGGCAAGTATGGGTCGTGGGGATGTTTTTGCTAATTTTTAAACTTTTTTTAGGGTGTATTTAATGAAATTAATAACTTTATAGGGTCTAAAAGTAATTAAAAAAATAGGATAATATTTCTGGAATAATGTGCCAAATATTATTTGGAGAATAGGATTGAGAATATGGGCAAAAATAATAAGCCAAACATGCCCTATATATTCCATTTTCACACTCAAACTCTTAAAATGCTGGAGTGCTAATTTATATAACGTTATATGTCATCTTTATATTATTTTATTATCTATATAAAGTCATATCAAAAAAATTTTGTTTTAAAAGAAAGATATATTATACTAGTTAAAAAAAATAAGACCAATCATAATCTATAAGAGATATTGTCACTTTTATGAGATAGAGACAATTTATTCGAATAAAAATATTTGATCACATATTAAAGGCAATATGAATGATGATTTTAATAGATGTATTTGCACGCCTATATATAATCTATTTCAATAAAGTAAACATCCAATCAAACACTTTAAATATTAAATAAATTAGACCATTTGATTACATGAACCAAATTAATCAATACCTATAGACTATAGTTTATTTACAAATATTTTAAGGATAGAATTGAGTTTTTATTTACATATAAAGTTTATACTTTAAACTATAGCCTCTACTTAAATAAAAGCTAATTATGTATGAAAAATGTGTCAATTTGAGAGATTAATTATTTAATTGTATCAAACCAATTATATATATATATTAGATTTTTTAATTGTCTTCTTTAACCTAGTTTTTCATTATTTTTTTTTAAATCAATTTAGACGATTACCGGTTATATAATATTTTCAATTAATTATAAATGTGTTTAATATTAATCAATCCCTTCCAAAACGCAAATAAATAAATAATTTAATAAATTTTTACGTTGGACAATTTAGAGTTTTGGACTTATAATTTCATACATCTAAGATTAAGAGTTCCAACTTCTATGTAACACCAAACTTAGTCTTACATTTAAGATTAAGAGTTCCAATTTCTATTAGATTATGTTAATATGTTAATAGTTCATATTTAATTTACAAATTATTAAATTAAAATTTATAGTGACATAATATATTTTATTTATATTTGAGAATAAATTAATATGATTCATTATAGGCTATAATTCATTAATTCATTACGTTAATAATAATAAAAAAAATAAAACTTCACATAATGGAAATATTATTCCATTATTGAAGATTTCAATAGTGATTAATTTTGTAATATTCAATAAATATATCAAAAATTAATAATTTAATGACTTTCTTCTTAATTTGCATAATTATGGTGATTATATTTGGCACTAATCTGTTAATTAGAGAGGGTTATATTACTAAGATTATTTTGAACTAGATGCAAAGCCCGCCCGTTGGGCGTGAATGTTTATTGTTATTTTTTTTAATGTTTATTGTTATTTTTTTTACATTATTATTGGTTTTTTTTGTGTTTTAAATATATATTTTCTGTATTGAAGTTCGTTTTATATTGATTTGATAACTAAAAAATCAATAAATAAAATATCTACAAATTTAACTCAAAGTCTATATCATCATGGTTCTTCTCAAATATGTCATTATTTGACATCTGCAAGACTGCAACCAAAGTTTAAAACTTTGTCAAGAAAAGCAAAAAAATTTGCAAGATAACCCACTGTGCATTATTGATAAGTCTATAAATCAATCAGAGAAAGAGAAACATTATTGAAAAATGTTAACTTTTAAGCAAGAGACTTGCAGAGCCAAAGGAAAAAAATGAGTTTGATTGTTCAGAAGAGAAAAAGAATTATTTTTATTATTATTATTTTAGAAATAAAAAAATTAAGAATGTTGAGAAGAGAACTCACATAAAAAACAATAACAACTCCAATAGTATAATTTGAAGGCAACTTAATTGAAGCATTAAAGAAACAATGAAGATAAAGGTCTTGTGACACATATCCATTTGCTACAATTAGAATTGACCACCATATATAGCAAAAAAAGCATTTGATGATAGCATCCTAAAAATAGACGATAATTGTAAAACCCACAAAACCCACAAATCAATCAACAAAATCAATCCAAAAATCAATAAAAAGAGATAGAACAAATACAATTAAAACTACATATCAATATTTGTTTTCCTTTGTCACCACTAAAGTTGAATTTGTTTTACGTGTGCGATGATAAAATGAATTGTTCAACAGCTGGTCTATAGTCATTCAAATTCATCATATAATATATCAAGTTAAAGCCCTATCTTTCTAGTTTTCAAAGATTCAAACCGCTCATCAATTGGATTTTTATTGCGCAAGTTATGACTAATTTACTACTGTATGTTCAGTGGAAATCGAGAAATAGGGGAAACTAGAATGTGTGTGATAATAAAAGTAACGGTTCAATAGTGGGGTTACAGTTATCCAAATTAAGCATATAATATATCAAAAAGACATGTCTGTCTAGTTTCTAAAGATTCAAGCCTCTCATCAATTAGGTTTTTATCGAGCAAGTTATGATCAATTTACTACTGACTGTTCAGTGGAAACCAAAATATATGTGATGATAAAAGAAATTGTTTGCCAGTGGGGCTACAGTTATCCAAATTAAGCGTATAATATATCCAATTAAAGCCATGTCTGTCTAGTTTCTAAAGATTCAAACCTCTCATCAATTGGATTTTTATTGAGAAAGCTATGGTCAATTTACTACTGATTATTCAGTAGAAACCGAAATGTGTGTGATGATAAAATGAATGGTTCGACAATGGGGCTACAGTTATCCAAATTAAGTGTATAATATATCAAATTAAAGCCTGTCTGTCTAGTTTCTAAAGATTCAAACATCTCATCAATTGGATTTTTATTAAGAAAGTTATGATTAATTTACTACTAATTGTTCAATGGAAACCTAAACGTGTGTGATGATAAAATGAATGGTTTACTAAAGCTACATAGTTAAGCATCAAACATCAGTTAATATTTGTTAAATAAATTAAATTAGTTATATTCAACAACAATTCCTTTTTATAATATATGTATATAACATAAAAAGATATCGACAAAAAGAGATAGAACAATTATAATTAAAATTACATATCAATATTGGTTTTCCTCTAAGAATAATAATGATAGTTCGACATATTACAAATGGTTTACTAAAGTTACATGGTTCAATAACAAACATTAGATGATATT